AAAGGTAATCTCTTAACGATGGAGACAGGTCTAATATATATCTCACCTGTTTTGGAAAAGATGGATTAAAGAATACTTGCCACAACTTCAACAGCGCCAGAAATGGGGAAGGATTAAATACAACTTTATTCCTGGAGATGTGGTCCTCATAGTTAATGACTCTGCAACTCGTGGTTCCTGGATTATTGGCAGAGTCACAGGAGCTGTGCCAGAGAAAAAGGAGCTTGTATGTCAGGTCTGGATTAAGACCCCAACCAGCCGTGTGTGCAGACCCGTCACAAAGATATGCCGTCTTCAGGAGACCTTTGACCCATGATGATGACAATTTTGACACAGCGTGACATAACTTACGTTGGTTTGACTTTAACACTAAGAGAGATACATCACAGACTGACTATATTTAGGCTATGTGCTGGTAACCTCTGGCCTATGACTGACTGACCATGTGTGGACAGAAGAAGAGAAGAAAAGAAAAAACGGCTTCGGTGGACTTTTTGAGCATGTTATGTTGTCTAACTGGTTGTCTGTGATGTGATGTGTACGTCTTGAGTTATGGTGTCCAATATGTAATTATTACAGTACTGATGCAGGCAACAGTACTGATTAGTTGCCAGAATGTGGTTGATAGGCATAGCTTTGGGTGTTGGTGTGAAGTGGGTGATGGGGGAAGTCGTCTGTTGCTGACCGCTCAAGCCAGGAGTGTTGTCATCACTGTTGTTTTGGATGGATTTTAACAATTTTTGATACCATATAAAGAAGTCTTAAATTGAAACTGAATTGCATTACATTGGCCTCTAGTATCACTGTATGGAATCTGGAATCTTCCCATCCACCTGTTAGTGACCCTCCATCTGAATTATTAATATTAATATTAACAAACTAGCAGGTGGAGAAGGCCCCTACTGGCTCATATCTATGGGGGTGATTTCTGCTCATAACGCCCATTGTATAGACTGATAACATCCAAAGTGCATAGGGATAAATCGCAACTGCTGAAACTTTTTGGAATAGGGTTTGCAGATATTTTTTTTCTTTGAGTACTACAAAGAAAACAGATTTCACTACTTGGGTAACACAGTGATACAACTGTTAGCAATGTCACCTGAAAAACATTTTATGACATTACCTTTGCCAACCACATCAGTGTCACTGAAAATGGTGAATATGAGCTGATTTTTCCACAGGTTACTCATCAGAAACATTTTATATTAGTATCTGGTCTTCTCTGTTATCTTTTTTTAATGACAGTCCTTGTGACTGTCAGTCAAAAGGAAAGTGAAGTTTGAAGTCATTGAATTTATCCTTTCCTCTGTTGCAAACTCATTGTCAATTCTGCCATCTGCTGACATACAACAGCAACTGGAGAAAAACTCTTTGCTGCTTATACTGAATGGGCTACACTGTACTGAAGTCCCTCTATTTAACATAGACATGCACTGTGAAAAGCACTGTTTTTCATAACTAGATAAATAGCTTAGAACATAATTATAGCATACTTGTTAATGGTAATAAGCAGGTACATTAACAAATTCTACATTTTCAGGTCAAATTATCACTTGGGCAAAGATAGGCAACTATCCATGTTCCCCAAAGAACCATATCATAAAAATTAGCACTCATTAAAATATAGCATAGATAATGCAAAGCTTGAATGTGTAGTAGAAGCTCAACAAGGGGCTGCATTCTCCAATCTCCATTCTTATCACATCTTAGTAGGGATGGGTATCGTTTAGGTTTTATCCGATACCACCGGTGCCAAACCAGTACTTTTGAAACGGTGCCGGTGCTTAAACGGTGCTCAAACCGGTGCTCAAACCGGTGCTTAAAGAATGTAGAACACAAAATTGGTCCAAAAACCTCTCATGTTCAGCTGTTTTTTTGTAAAAAGGTAACAATGTTAGCCTTTTCTGAAGCTATGGGGCATATATGGTATCACTCTTGGCTGGAAGCAGTGCTTAAACAATGGAAAAAACACAAACTTTGTCCAAAAACCTCTCATGTT